CAAACAAGTTCTATTTTTCCTTATACTAAGTTGAGGGTACCTCACGTGTCAGGAAGGCAATCTTTGGTCACTTCTTCTTGGCCTGGTGTCTGTTTTAAAGTTAAAGGAAGGGAAGGGGGAGGCAAGTGTTTTGCCAAGCTGGGATAATCATAAAATTATAAGAGTGGGAAGAATGCAAAAATGTGAAGGATCATGTTGAGAACAAAAACCCTTTGATTCCTGTCACCAAGAAGACTTGTCATTCTGTTGAGGAAGAAAATTAGGTGGTTTTCATATTATTTGATTGATGGAGGGAATCTCATCACATTTCTTTTTTTCCCCATTTCATTCTGCACTATGTTTCATCTTCCTCCTCTGGCCCCTACCTCCATCTGCCGCCTTTCCTCTTTCGTGCTTTTTTCTATTTGCTACCAATCTGATTCTATGGAGCCTTTCTCGAAATCCACATTGAATTTGTCATATTCCAAGAATACCATTTGGCACTCCACCACAAAAAAGGCATGGTGTTATAAACTACCATGCTGTAATGGAAGAACAAAAACAGAAACTCTTTTAGTTTTTAATTAATACGCTATTCAAGGGGGGTTAAAAACCCCGAACCAATTTCTGTCATGGTGGCTGTGGGTCAATCAATCGTATTGGGCCTGCACTTTTCTAATATCCTCAGGAATCACTTTTTGAGTAACCCATTTCACTAAGGAGGACAAAAAATGTGATAGAAGTTGTAAGAATCCCCATGGTAATGTGTACCTATGGTAGTCACCAAAACCCAGGAAGTAGGTGGTGAGAAACCACAAGAATGCATCAAAGGGATGTGCTTGGTGTTTGGTGAATATTTTTATACACTAAGCAAATGGCTTGAGGTGACCAAACAAAGATAAAGACCAGGAATAATTTTTAGTTACCTACCTTTTCAGAAAGTTAAGCTTTTAATCCAAGATTTGTTCACTTTAAAAAAAAAAGTGAGTTCCTTCACCATTAGAGGATGAAACTTTTTCATCACTTCCCAACCATCAGAAATATAAAGTTAGATATATCATAGCATCTGCTTTCGAATATTAATCAAGAAGAGAAGAGATAAAAAAGTTCACATTCAGTTTAAAAGGAACACTGTAATTTTGCAAGATTTCTCTTGGAGAGGGAAGCTGGCAACAGAAAGAAAAAGGCAAAATGAGAAGGAAAATAAAACCATGATGACTTTTCAACCACCCTGCAGGGAGTTTTAATTATTTTAGGGGGCTGAATGTCCAAGTCCGCCAGGCTGAACTTTCCCCCCACCTTCTCTGGGAGAACTGCACCATCAGGCCACAGCCAACTGAGGTTGGAACTGTTTCTGGTTATCAGCAAGCCCGCTACTGCTTGCACACATCACAAAGGAGCCCACAGATGGCCCTAGTGTCTTTTGTATCCTTCCACATCACGTGACGATTTCACGTCAAGCCATTTGCTTTGGATGAGGATGATAAAGGGCAGCGACTGAAACACAAGAGCAAAAATCGGAAATGACCAGCACAGGCAATGGAGCAATTGCAAAGAAAAGAACCACAAACCAAAGCAGTAACTTACGGTAGCTACTTTCGCTATCGCTGGCATTAGAAGAGACATGTTCTGCAAGAACAGCACAGCAAATTAAAGAAATACCAAGCACTGGAGAGCAGCCAGAACGTGAAAGAATAACACTCATGCAAGGCTACTACAAGTGTAAGCAGGAAGCATGGGGAAAGGCTGCAGAAGAGGTGGCATTAAGAAAACTCAGATAAGATACAAAAGATGAAAACTTTATCTCCACGAGTTATAGGAAGCTACTACTTGATTGCTGGGTCTTCTTTTTAGCAAAGAGCAAAGTACCTTTAATTATAAAAAAATATAGAATGTCAACCTAAGCACTTTTCTTTTTATGCATACTTTGCCCCGTTCCCATGGCCCTAATTTTCCAGTTTCGTGTGACTCAGCTGGATGTTTCCTGACTCTTAAGTTCAGAAGCTTCTGGTGTGTAGGCACCGTTTGCTTACAAGCTTTTTGTTTCTCTGTGTTAGCCTTTAGGCATTTTGCAGGAATATTGTATTTCAGATTGCCAGGGGGTCCCTGGGACCCCATGAAATTTATTTCTATGTAAATACTTCTTAAACGAATTCTCAGGATAAAAAGGGACTGTTGAGAATTTTTGCTGCTTCAGTGAGTGAGGAGAAAATTTTAGAGGAAGAAATGAGTTGCTGAAAAATGGTTTATGAATCAGTTCAATATTTTCTTGATTTTATTTTAAGATTCTTGCTTGGATAGCTATTAGGTTCTGGAGGAATGAAACAGGCAGGGGATAAATGGTCTGATACCAAGCACAGGTCCTGGCATGAAGTATGCTTTTAATTCATGTTGAATAACTTGCTTGTACGGTGATATTTCAAATTTTTTTTTCATAAAAAATACAGTTTAGCTAACATAACAGGGATGTGTATGCCAGAATTAGAGATTTATTTCCAAAAATCATTTCATTTGTACTCTGTATTAAGTTGTAGAAGATAAATTCATTAACTTATCAAGTCCTTTGTATATCAGGTTAATTAAATGAAGAATATATGACTGATTTCTGAAGCTCACTACCAATAACTGGGCTTTTATTTATTTATTTATTTTTTAAAGATTTTATTTTTTTGACAGAGAGAGACACAGCGAGAGAGGGAACACAAGCAGGGGGAGTGGGAGAGGGAGAAGCAGGCTTCCCGCGGAGCGGGGAGCCCTATGCGGGGCTCGATCCCAGGACACTGGGATCATGACCTGAGCCGAAGGCAGATGCTTAACGACTGAGCCACCCAGGCGCCCCACAACTGGGCTTTTAAAAAGTGGCAACTTGTTCATTTTTAGAAAACGGAAAGAATATAGAACATTATTCTCTCTCATAGTAAAAAGTACTTTAAAATGTATTTCATATTATAGATTCTCACCAATTGGATGGATTAGTCTTTTTTTTTAAAGCTTTATTGAGGTATATTTGACAAATAAATTATAATACTTTTAAAGTGAACAATGTGACGATGGGATACGGTATATGTCGTGGAAGGATTCTCACAATCGAGTTAATGCATCCTGGAAGGATTAGTTTTAGAGAATGAAACTAAGGAAAAGCAAAACATGGGCTAAAATCATAGGAGTCATTTCTCTTTGTGTTGCTAATTTAGGCACACATTTTACAAGTGCAGAGGGTACTAGGGAAAGAAGTGTGAATGACCTAGGGCAAATTTGTTTTCTGTTGTTGAAAAAAAGTCAAGGGACACACCCAACAAAGGTGTATCTTCATATACACGATTATCTTAAGTACCTTGAATTGGAGATGACAGGGTTTTTTTGGTCTTTTTGTTGTTGTACTTGTTTTTTTTTAATTTTAAAATAACTGAGAATAAAGCTATGCTATCTATGTGGTGTTTTACTTAACCGATCTCTCTTAGTATCAAGATATTGTATCACAGAATTTTCCCATTTTGTAGGTAAAGAGAAATTTGAAAATATGTTCCAGCTAAAGTCCAAACAATGGTTAATGATAGCATTAATTGGCAAATAACTTTACCTACTGAAATCTGTTCAATTTTTAAAAAAGCAAAACAAACACTTGCATTCTGGATTTAAAAGGTCATCACTCATATTTTTGACATTCTAATAGCAACTACTTTCCAGTGATAATTCATTTATTCACAATATATTAAAATGCTTCTCCTCCGCACCCCGCCCCCATTGAAAATCTAGAACCTGGTGGTACTTGATGCTATCCAGATAATGTTGAGATCAGTATTTGAATTTCAGCCACTAATTCAAGAAAAATTTCATGACATATGCCATAGAGAGACTCAAAGATAAAGTTTTCATCTTTAAAAAGATCAGTAGTTATTCTTGATCAAATTTTGTTTTCTATATCTATATCTAAAAAAAAAGTCCAAATTAACAATCTGAGGGATGAAGCATATCATTACACAGGGTTAAGAAACAGCTCTTGAAAACAAAGTCCAGCTCAATGCTATTTTGTTTTATACAAATGAAATGAACAGCTTCTAAAAATATTGCCCATAGCTGTTAAATTAAAATAAAACAAAATAAACAACAAAAAAAATGAGCATGTGATACAGTTGCAAAAGACACAAACTATTCTTATTTCATTGGTGCCTACACAATGGAGTTAGTGTTAAAGAGAGAAAAATCATAGCATAGTATTAACACAGGATTATTAATTTTTATTGCTTAGTGCAACGAGACACAGACTAAAGGCATTAATAACTAGAAAAGTTAAAGGTTTAATATACTTTATTTTGCAGTCTATACTAGAAAACAAAGACCTGATTATGTAATGCCACTAATAAATGACTGATAGAAAAACATATTAATATATATCTAAAATTTTATCATACAAACGTTTCAAGCAGGATCACTGCAAGTCAGAGAAAAAAATCAATCATAGTTAATAACAAAGAATTATCCATGGAAGATCAAATAGCTTAATGTTTATTTTTTGAGAAGGCATGTTCCCTTTGACAATAAAATAGCTCCTTTACTACTAGCAAAGTATGACCCAATTATGGAAGTTGGCAAGGTCATTAAATATTTCTGGCTACCAAGGCAGAAGAAAGGACGTAAAGTACATTTCTACTCTCTTGTTCTAGAACATTTAGCTCACCCTTTCTTTCAACATGGCTTCTTGCTCTCTGGGAGGTGTTAGGCGGCAGAGCAAGGGATGCCGTGGTTGGCATCGTGACCATGTTGGCCACATCACATGGTCAGAAAGGGCAGGTGTGAACTGCAACAGAAGTTACAGTGCCTGACACACTTGGCTTTTAAATGCTGACATGCAGAACAAAACGGTTGAAATTACTCTGTAGGAGCATTCACAGCTAGGTAACATAAAACTCGTATCTTGTGCATGCTAGGAGTGAAAGGCCCTCAAGAAAAGGAACAAAAGCCAAACTCAAAAGGAAAGGAAAAGAAAAGAAAAGTTACAGTGACCATTCCTGGGAACTTACTCAGAGTCTTTGTTCCATAACCGTCGTCACCTAATCCGGGGATGTCCTGCATGGAAGTCCCCAGAGAGAGCAATGAGAGAGGAAGAACAGCCACGGAAGAGGAAGGAAGAAGTCAGTGGAGTTGAAATGGATACTACCATGACAGACCGTGTTGCCTAAGCAATCTGGATCCCACTCTTTCTTCTTTTGAAACAACTTTCACCCCAAACTCCCTGGGCTGAGACTCAAAGATTTGTAAAGCAACTCAAAAGATAGTGAGTTAAAAAAAAAAAAAAAATCAGAAGACTGTTACAGAAAAAGAGGAAGATTCACCAAATGCCATTTGTGCCCACTGTTAATGTTGCCGCAGAAATGTTCCACTCAGAGCAATGCTCCACTCCCAAGTTTCAAGACAAACTCTTAGATTCAGTATCCACCAAAAATACAAGCTCACTGCTCAGTAAGTATTTAACATTTGCTGGGAGGGAAGGTGTAAACACAGGGCTAGTAATCAATACAGAGAATTTAGTCGCTCCCAATGAGCTAGAATTCAAAAACATACACATGGTGATGGAATCCAGTATTTCTGTTCAGAAAAGAATTTGTCTCAAGCCCTCAAGAGCTGTATGACAGAAAAGGCAAACCAGCCCCAGCCCTGGTCACAGAAAAATGCTGGCTGGAAGCAAAGTCCTAGCTTCCTGAAGTCCCTCTCCAATGCATTCTGCAAAGAAGAGCCACATCAAGGGAAGGATCCAGACTGCAGCCAAACACTGGTCACAGTAGTAAGCCCTGACCTGCCTGCCTACCGTGTTTGTTTGCCTAGGCGTGTGGCGTGGGGGAGCCTACGTCATGCGTGTTGCCCGTGAAGAATTTTTTTCTCTTTTGCTGCATGTGACATTCTCTTCGAGAATCTACTTACGTTCAGGATCACTGGTTTCCTGCTCACTCTGCTCCTTGTTCTTGTAGAATGGGAATTTTCGTGAAAAGATGAAGCTCTTTTTACGCTTGTCATTGAATGACTGTGAAGGAGAAAAGGCATGGGGCAAAAACAGGGGACGTCTAATTGTTGTCACACTCATGCTGACAAAACAACTAGTTTGTAAAAGCAGAGAGAGCTGTAGTGACGCAAGTGGATAGTCTAAAGAGGTGCCAGCGCCTCTCCGAAGGCAGATTTTATTTTCAAGGAGTGTAAATTCTGAATGATGACACCTTGGAAAAAATGCCTCCTAATGAAAAGACTGGTTGCAGGTAAATGATAATGGAGGAAAAGAGTCTTAAATTAGAAGCAGAAGACCCAGAGCTTCTGTCCTGGCTCTACAACTTGCTAGTCCATCACCTTAGACAGGTAACTGAATCTCTCTGAACCTCAGTATGTTCTTCATCTGCATAATGGAGGATAATGATAGCAGCTCTTAGGATGTGAGACTCAGGTGAGGCAGGATAAACATAACGTGCTATACAAATGTCATCTTTATCATCATCATTATCATCAGGTAGAGAAGACTTTCTTAGAGATACTAGACACCTCAGTGCCTGGATGTCATTTCTTTGTAAGTTGAATATGAATTACTTCCACTTGGCTTTAATTTAAAACACACAGAGAAGTGTGTAGATTTATGATATATGATACTTATAGTAGCACACATAGATATACAATAATTATTCATTCAAAAGAGATTTTAAAGACACGTGAGCCCCACACCCTCATCTTGGGAACAGGGGACCAGAGGCACAGAGAGGTTGAGTCTCTTGTTAATATCATGGGGCTAGTTGGTGACAGCTAGGACACTGTCAACCCAAATCTGATATTAAAAGACAGTAACTTGATATTCACTCCAGCGAGGGAGAAATAATGGTTACTCGTTTATATTCTGACATGATAAAAAATACTGTAAGAAGGACTGTCCTTGAAAATGTAAACCACTTCATTAGGTTAAATGAGACCGAATTAAAAGTAATACAGATACATGTAATATAAGACATATATTAGAACTTATTCATATGCTTGCCCAGAAGACTCCTTAAGGAAATTTCATTTATTCCCCCTGTTGCTGTTATGTAAATGCTTTGTGGGGTTCTTCTTTGGGAAATGAATTCACAGTCATTTTATAAGCTATAGGTTCTACAAGTCTTAGTAATTTCATAGTCACCTATCATTTAAAAAATATGTTTCACCAGCTTGATCACCATACCTATTTGACTGGCTCTGACAGTCACTCTCCAAAGAACAAGATTTGTCACCATGTAGGTATTAAAATGAATGTGCCAAAGACTCTGAAGGTAATTTGACAAGGGGTATTCCAAAATAGTTTAGCAATGGCAGCTGGTAGGAACACATGTAGGGCCAGCAGGGTGACTATTTGGAAGGAAAAGCACTTGTTCGGATGTATATATTTTATTCATTGGTGGGATTCAGTGACATGCTCTCATGGGTTTGAAGCTTGACTGAATAGTGTAAATAACTTAGTTTCTTCGTATACTCCTGTGCTCCTATATCAGATATCCATTTTGGTAGTCTTGTTTATTTAGGAAACATTAAAATGCTAAAATGTTGGTGCTGTCATTCAGTAATTTATTACTTTTTTGGGTGCTAGGAACTTCACCAAAATCAGTCGAGCTTAATTTTTATGTCTCATTAAGAAGGCTTTAAGAAAAACAATTAAGTCAAATATTTGATAATTTCTGAAATTAGGCAACATATTTTATATGTAATACATCAAGTATTAGATATACATTTTCAGGGTAAAAAGAAGTATTATTTCAGAATTTATGACTCTGCTGACAGCACTTATGCTCAATATAGTTTTGTCAGAACTTGTCATTGAGGATTTGTGTCCAGAGACAAGGCTGGGAACAGCCCCCCAAATTTTCCCAGCTAAAAAATGATAAGTCCTTAAAGGAACATTAAATATTCTTGCATCACTCCAGTTTCATGCCACTTTTACTTTTCAAGCATATTTAAACTTCAGTAACTGAAAATAAAAGAAAAAAATCATGTAAGAATTAATGACGTGTATTGCAAGATATGTTAGACATTTAACTTCAACATCATGGATGACTTGTCATGCAAAAAAAAAAAAATTTACAAATTCTCATGCAAATACAAAACAATGCCCAAAGGAGGAAAGCCTGGGGTTAAAATGTAGACACAGATGGACAGTGTAGAGGCGTTTGAGGGCCAAAATGGGGCCACATGCAAACCACATCATTTAACTTGTCTCATGGGATCAAAGGAAAATGAATATGTGTTGTCTGATTAATTCTTTTTTCATTTCAAAGCAAGGACTGTAATGTGTTAACATTTCCCAAGTATGAAAATGTTGTGTATCATGAGTCATCTGATTGGGATATAATAATATTTAGCAACACATCTTTAAAAGAACAGAAAATACATAATAACTGCTCAAAAATAAAATTATCTAATGTATTAGTCTTATTACCCAAAGTCATTTTGTATTGGAATGAAAGAGAACGTAATAGAGTCATTGGTGGTTAAATGACTTTACACTGATGGACACAAAACCAAATCACAACTTCCGTTCACACTCACAGACTTAAAAGTTACACATTTAGGGTCTTAGCAAAACATTTCAAATGTAAGAGGTTATAGGTGGTTTATAATGCTCTAACACTAGTCTTTACTTTTTATTAGACATGTATAATACCATTATGTAAGCTTTCTGTTGCTGGTAATTTTTTTTTAATTTAAAAAAGGAAAATCTGTTACATGAGTGTTAGGTGAGAATAATAAATTAGCACTTTTACTATTTATAGAACACATGGCTCTCAAGCAACTGAAGGCTGGTTTACAGCTCTGTTAATCATACTTGATCAATGCTATTTTTTCTCTACACTGCTGTATCTTAGATCTCAATCTAATGCTCTCATGGCAGGAAACTTCTTTGAATAGAGACTTTGAAAATACCAATCACATGTGGCAAGTGGCAAGTTGGCATTTCTAAGAGTTCCATTTTAGAATTTGACCTGAATCATTGAGTTCTTATGAACAAAAGTGATACAACAACCATTTACTGAGCGCTTATTATGTGCCAGGCTTGGTTCTAAAAGCCCTACATGTGCTAATCTCCACACTAACTTCAGGAGGTTGGTATCATCATTATTCCCCTGTTACAGATGAGGAAACTGAAGTTTACAAGTCTTCTGTTACTTGTCCAGAGTCACATAGTTGATGAGAGGTAAAGTCAGGATTTGAATGTGCAATTACTGGTTGCAGATATAGCTGCTCTTATGAGCAAGAAAAGCTTCTGCAATCCAAGCCTGTTTCAAATTTATACTTAAAATTATTAGTATTTGACTTTCATGATACTATAATCTGTTATCGTTCGAACAGCTTCACTGTTTGGCAGTTATTTAAGCCATCAGAAGTTATTGTATTCAACAATATTTTTGTGGATTATCCTGCTACAATTTTTTTGATACCCATTCATGTTTTTGAGGGATCGATTCTATTCTTATTCTTATGATAATGTAAAAAAATAAAATAAAAATAATTTCAGTGGGACAAGCTATGAATGGCAATTAAGAGGTGACTGTTCATGACAGGCAAAAACCTATAGAGACAAAGTAGATTAGTGGTTGGTTAGGGTTGGGGTAGGGCATACAGAGAGTGGGAAGTGACAGCTGATGAGTATGGTGTTAGTTTTAGGGGAGATGAAATGTTCTAAAATTAGATTGTGGTAATGGTTGCATAACCCTATGAATATACTAAAAAACACTGAATTGTACACTTTAAGTGAGTGAATTGTATACTATGTGAATTATATCTCAATAAAGTCATAAAAAAAAAGGAACCTCTCCCCATCCCCTACACCATAGGATGGGAGGAAACAAACACAGCATGTTTTGAATTTTATTTGGAGCAAATACTTTTTATCTTGAATCGAATGAGTTGAAAACACACTCCCCAACCCTTGCAATCAATCAGATACACATGCCTTGTTTATCTGATTCTGCTGTTCCTCTGTTAAATGAATACCTTTCATGTTGTGACAGACATTAGAACACCCATACCAGGAGTCAGCATATTATCACTGTCACTCAAAAAAT